TAATTAATCAAGATACAAATTAGACAAATAATTCCTAATTGTCTTTTTGAAGAATTTGGACCGTTTGTTGAAGAAATTGTCCTTGGACTTCGGATATATCGGCTTTCTCTTTCTCATCAATTGGTTTCATAGCAGGGAAAAGAAGAACCTGAAAAAATACATTTCATAAGAATACATAAATAATATAATAGAAGCAGAAAATGAAATATCATAAATAAATAGGTAAATGAATAAAGCAAACCTCTTTAATATTTGAACTATCAGTCAAGAACATTGAAAGTCGATCGATACCCATTCCCCATCCACCACTAGATAATTAATAGATAATTCAGATTAGTTTAATTTTAAATAATACCCTTTTTTCGAAAAATAAAAAAAAACTCTTACGTTGGCGGAAGTCCATATTCTAAACTTGTACAAAAAGTTTCATCAATAAGTTGAGCCTCATCATCTCCTTGTTCTTTTTGATGGGCTTGTTCCTCAAAACGTTCACGTTGATCAAAGGGATCATTTAATTCTGTGTATGCATTGCATACTTCTTTGGTAGCGACAAATAATTCAAATCGTTCACAAAGGCCTGGGATGTCTCTATGGTTCTTAGCAAGAGGAGACATCATTTGTGGATGACCAGTAATAAATGTTGGAGATACACAATCCACCTCGATATATTCACCAACGAGCTATAATTTGAATCAATTAGAAAATTAGATCGAAAAATGAAATTTTTAGTTTAAATTATTCACTTACTTTATCTAGTAAACGTGCATTAGTCTTTGGTGGTGAGCACTCTACCCCATGGTTTTCACAAATTTCTTGCAAAAATTTATTAGTTTCATCGGTATGTAACTCTGAAGCTGGAGGGAATTTAACTTTCAATTTTTCTTCCAATGTTTCGATCATGCTAACCCTTTTAAAAGGTGGTGTGAAATCAATTTTCATTTCTATCCCATCAGGTCCTTGAGGGTGATACGTGATATTATAATCACCAGTGATAGATTTGACCATGCCAGACAACATTTTTTCAGTCATATCCATTAAATCATACATATCTGCGTACGCCATATAAAATTCACATGTAGTAAATTCTGGATTATGTGTAAGATCAATGGATTCATTACGAAATTGACGACCAATTTCATAAACGCGATCTAAACCACCAACGACAAGCATTTTAAGAAACAATTCTGGAGCCACTCTCATGAATAGGTCAAGCTTAAGATCATTATGATGAGTTATAAACGGTTTAGCAGTTGCACCACCAGCGATCATATTCATCATGGGAGTTTCAACCTAAGAAAATATAATATTATTAATAAAACAAATATATTACAATAAAATAAAAACAAGTGATGCATACTTCAAGGAATCCGAGATCATCTAAAAATTGTCTAACATATTTCACAATTTTGGATCTAACGTTAAACTTATCTCTTACAAAATTATTCATAATCAAATCAAGGTAACGTTGACGGTAACGTGTTTCCTGATCCTTGAATCCATAATATTCTTTAGGTAACATATGCAGACAAGGGGATAGTAGTACAACTTCCTTTGGAAAAATTGACAATTCACCCTTCTTGGATTTTCCGGGACAACCACGTACGCCTACAATATCACCACGACGAATCACATCATGTATCTCAGCAAAATCTTGTTCAGAGTCTCTGAAGAAATTTAATATTCTCGTAAATTAAAAGATTAAAAATTCATTATAATGTATGGACAAATAAACAAAATTCAATACATACTGTGCTTGGGCCATTATTTGAACTTTAGAACCTTCACCATGTAAATCATAAAATCTTAGTTTAGAACCACTAGCCCTTTTGTTATGAATTCGTCCAGCCATTCTAACTACATCATTTAAGTGTTGGCCAGGTTCAAGATGGGAATATTTTTCAACAAAAGCAGGAATTGAAATATCCACATAAAATTTATGCGGATAGGGATTTGGATTACGAGTTTCTCGAAGTTTTTTAATAAACTTGGACCGAATTTCGAAATATTGCTATATAATTGAAAAAAAAATAAAATAAAATAAATTTACCGTAAATATTGATATATTTTAATGATTAATAAACCTACATTCGGATTCAGGTTTTCTTCCAAGCTCTCATCATTTTCGGTTTTCACAGGTTTCGCTGCCACATCAACATTAGCCGCTGCCTTCAATGCCTAATTCGATAGTAATTATATTAATAAAAAGATGTAGGAATTTATATAATAGAATGACTAAAAAAAATATGTACTTTTTCTGCCTTTTCTGCTTCTTTTTTTCGTTGTTTGTTAAGACGTTTCAGCTCACTTGAATTAATTGAAAAATTCACTTTTTGTAATATTGGAACCATTTTTTAACTAAAATAAATGGATTATCCATACTTTTTTGATACTTTTTTTCCAGTAACTTCATCTAAAATAAGATTACTTTCTTCGGCACTCATTATATATAGATTATTATTCTATCAAGTTATTAAAATATTAACTGAAAAATTCATAATCAATAGGACAAAGATTACTTTTTTACTGTGTTTTGACATCACCTTATTATAAAATTTTTTAAAAAAGTAATTAAAGTTAAGGGCTATGGTTAACCTTGAAATAGGGTTAGAAAGTTTATATATATGTAAATTCGATTTCTGAAAACTTTTACTTAGAAGCCCAAAGCCAAGTTTCATAATAAAATTTTGTTTATTTGAGATTGATTTTTTCATGCATTCGTCCTTGCTCAGTTACACAAGATCTCGCGATCTGGTTGGTTCTCATATGTCATCTGTCATCGCCACGTTTACGATAACCGATAACTTTCGAAAGAGCAATCGCGTACACATACTTGTTCGATCCTTTCAAAGTTCTCTTTTAAGTAATGTAGCCCTTTTATTATTTTTACTAAACATTCGATTTAACTTTCATAGAAATGGTTCAGAATAACAGATAAGTATAATTTTATTGGTGTACGATTAAAGTTTATTGGCTTAGCTGGCTAAGTCAATCGATTTTTTGGAAAACCGGTTTAGTCGACTCAATAAAAAATTATCGTTATAATTTCAAATTTATTTATCGTTATTACTTGTTTATGTTATAGAACTCCTGATTCAGAATCCATACAAGTGTATTTTGGATCTTAACAGAATTATTGTAAAAGATAAATTTAAAAAAATTCATCTAAATAAAATGTGCCAATTTTTTAAAAGTTGAACAATAATATTCATAGAATTAAAATAAATAAGGATTCATTGAATTTTATTAAGTGGTTAAAGACGACTTGAAGTTAAAATCGTTTAACCTCTGCTTACGGGTCTCTCCCAAAAATTAAACAATTAATAAGTTCCCCTCGAATTAAACAAAATTTTGAAGAAAATATTGTTTGGTTATAACTTCAACCTGATTTGGATCATTCGAATCTCGTTTAAAATTAATGTTTGTTTAATTTTTTCCCGTATTAATACAAAAAAATTTAAAGTTAAACGAAGTTTTAACTTCAAGTCGCCTAAAAGTTAGGGTGCATATTCTATTTTAATAGACGTTTTTGAGTTTTTAAGGCTTTAAGCAAAGATATCTAGGCAACTACCTGATAAAAACTTAAAAAAAAATTTATTTATTTTAATTCTACGAACTTTTAGAATTAAAATAAAAAACTTTCATTGAATTTGATTAGGTGGTTGTCGAGACCTTTCGTTTAACTTTTATTCATAGTGATAGTATAAAGTTATACTGCATCACGTGATTAATGATTGTCAACAAATTTTTCGAAAGCTTTGATATTGACAGTTAAGGTTCATTTGGCTCTATAATTAAACTGTTTTATTATAAATATCTTAATATATTTAATTCTGTAAAAATGGTAATTAGTATAAGTAGTAATTTAAGTGCTATAAAGAAGTTTTGTCCTTCTATTATATAACTAAACAAAATTCCTAGAAGTTTTTTGTAAAGTTATATTTATTAAAACATTATATAATACAAGTCATTTTTCAGATAAAGAACTACATGCACGCGTAAAAATCGTACTCTAAGCTAAACATATTATGCTACTAGTAAGAACATAATTTATAAAACATATGTTTTCTATTTGATAAAATTAAATTGTGAGTGTCAAATATTCAAACTTATTGATAAATCATTCCATTCATTTTTGATACATTGATTGTAGATGTTTCGGTTCAATTGGTTTTAGTTTGACCCTGTCAGCATTTGAAAATTGCTTCTTGAAGAAATTCTCACCATCTAGATCCATCTCGTCGAACCAATATCCTATCTTGTAATTAACAATAGCTGTCGTCCTTTTCAACTCCCAATTCCATTTAGATAACAAATAACCAACATCAAATGTTCTGTCAATACTGTATGACCCATATCTGCGGCTTTATGAATGCCTTATGTTCATCTTTCTTAACACAGTTCAATAATAATATTTGTAACCTGTCTGCATTAATTTTGTAGAAATGTGTTATCTATCTGTTATAGTGAAAATTGTACGTACTGTACGTAATAGCAATAGGTTTAGCAGTGGAAATTCATTTTTATTGGCTAAAAAAATGATCGACAATTTAGATGCAGTGTTGTACGTGGACGAGATTTTATTTTGAACAAAAAATAACTGATAAAGTGAATTTGCTCAAAATTTTATTAAGATAACCTATTTAAATCTTTCAAGCAAAAATGTTTAGAATTAAACGGAGAATATAATCATAAAATTTCTGTTTTAATTGCTAAAATATTTAAAGTTATGGACAGCTTGGACTATTATTCAGAATGTCAGAGTTCAGAATGATCGTTTCTAAATGCTACGTAGTCACACGATAAGTACAGGCTTATACGTATTACGTACACTCGTTTTTTTGTTACTTATCATGTGACCAACAAACATTTGGCTTTACAGTTGTTCTCAAATTCTGGGAAAATTTTGATCGATGACTAATCGGCCGAATTTGATTTAAAATTGATTATTTTTTACACAGTACATACGTAGCATTGTAAAAATGTCAATTCAATCTACATCTTTATTAAGCTTCATCTGAATACTTGTCCAATTTGTATACATGTTTAGTTGTACAAAAACTTATGGCAATGATTATTCTTGTCAACCAACTGGAAACGTAAAAGAGGCTCTGAGCTTAAGTTGGACTTCTGAATAAACATATTACACGCGTAGGTGCTAACAATATGATAAAAAAAAAATGTAACTCAAGATTACAAGAAATCAAAGACTTTATTATTTTGTCAAGCATGTATTGAGAATCATAATTTACATCGTTGTAAAAATTTTTATCTCTTACACCGTCCAGCAATCACAGGCAAATTTGCCTGCATGCAGACCCAATCACCTTAATCAAACATCACGTTTTTGACCCCAAAAAATAATCTCAAGAGATAAATTATTATTAAATTCTGGTAATATCATTATAAATATTCAAATCCCGTCAGGTATTTTGCTCTTTTCATAGTGAAATAATCATGTAATTTTTGAAGGCCCCCGAGAAGTAAAATGAAGAATTCAAAGGACACAAGGTTTACACATGATATTGGCATAAAGCCATTGAACAGGCGATTCAGTTTGCTTAAGATACTATATACCCTTAAATTATAATTTACATACGATCTGACAGAAAAAGTAAAATTTTTAAAAATTCGCAGGCAAATTTGCCTGTAAGATGGTGTAAGGTATAACATTTATACCGTATAATTATTTTGTTTAAAATAATGGATAAATAAAACTATTAAAACGATGGATTTAACAAGCAAAAGAACTTTGAGTTGTTCTTCTATCGTGAATATAATAATGATATATTGTAGTAGTGATAATATCTATATTATTTGATTTATAAATACTGTACCAAAATAAAATCAATAACTTATCGAATTCGGCCGAATAGTCATCGATCAAAATTTTATCAGTTGTCTTCTCAGAATTTATGATATTTTGATACTTGTAAACTTCTCAAAAATAATTTGGCACTCTATCCAAATTATTTTCGACATCCAAATTATTTTCGGCATCCAAAATTATTTTCAGCAGCCGAAATTATTTACGGTTTAGGTTGCCTAAAATATGTTCGGCATGCCAAAAACAATTTAGGTACACATGTATAGTTAGGAGTGTAAGTTATATGAAATATTATTGGCTAAAGATCAGGTTGATATTATATTTAACTAAGTCAACTAAAAGTCAAATCGACTACTACTTCATTTTATTTCTGAAATTAAATATTGTAATTTTACATGTCCTATATAAAAAAAAATTTTTATAAAAGAAATACCATATATAAATTTCTTTATAGTAGCAACCAGTATTTAAAAATAGTATAATAAAAATTTTAGATCTACCAGTATTTTTTTTTTTTGGTCATCCACCATATAAATTTCAAATCCTATTTCAAACACTTAACATATAAATAAATATTTTCATTTACTCTGAAAATCCTTTATCAACGAGCTTATGGCATCTATAACTGCAATAACGTATCCAGAAAATCCTATAAACACTACAATCAAACTACAAATCAAATCAAGAATAGATAATTTACTCCATCCAAATAATTTTATATAAAAAATCACGGGAAAGATAAATACAAGACAATACATCGCTAATGCTCCAAGTAATGCCATAAAATCTCCAAGAAGTGGCATAAAAATGGCGACAATTGCACATCCAATGACAATACTTGAGCGAAATATAACTCTTAATATAAATTCAGAAATAACAGAATAATGTTCAGAAGTAATGTTTAAAAATTCTTCAGCTTCTGACGCAAATGATGTTAAAAGAATTGGTGCAGTAAGGAGTATGTCAATTGTAATAAATATGGTGGCTATTGTCAGAATTGGACCTAAACAAAATAATATTAATAATATTATTGAAAGTACAGAAAAAAAAAATAATCTACTAATTATGCAATAGATATTTCACGGGCTGTTGTGAATATCATGAATTATCACGGCGTAGCCGTGATAAATTAATGATGTTCATGGCTCACCAATGCCCGTAACATTTCTGATTAAAATTTTTATGACGACGTAATGCCCGTGGAAAAATTTGATATTTTCACGGCATTACGTCATCGTAAAAATATCATCAGAAATGCTCACGGGTGAACAATAAGGGCCCGCCTTACCTTCATGTTGAGTTGTACGGATAATCTTGCAATCACCAAACACATAATACCCAGAAAATGCTACAATCAAATACATAATCGTACAAGTAATTAAAGCGGCAGTTACCACTTTATTCCAATCCTTAGGCCTTCGCATATTCCCTTCAATGGATGGAAATAGACAATTTCCTCCATATGTGAGTGACACTGCCGCAAATGACATAGGAATTTGATATAAATTATGCGAACTAGTATCATTATAATTTAGGGACTCAGTAAAGTCTCTACATGACAATGCGGCGACTGCAATAACAGAAAATAAAGTCGAAAGAGCGCCAAATATGCTATAATAAGTTAAAAATAACATTAAGTTTTTAGAAAGGAATTCAATTCTTGCTCATGATAAATAAATTTTAAACCTTAGGAAAAACACGTCTTTCAATGATTTCATTAATATAAATGGTATGGAAATCAATGCTGCAGCTATGCATATCCATACACGAATTCCTAAGTGTGTTTCAAAATGCACTGTTACTAAATTGTCAAGATTTTTTCCTGCAATAAGCAACAAGAATATCGGAATTCCTATCAAGATTGCGTTATTGAATATTCCAACCAATAAATATTTTCCAATATTTCCGTAAGCATGGTAACCAATATCCGCATAAGAATTTAATCGAGTTTTACTGTTTTAGGTGACAAATATATATATATTAATAAATAATTTTTCGTTTCTTAATTTTATTATTATAAACTTTTAAATAATGAATTTTTTATATACCCATCATAGTAAAGACATTTGATTAAGATTATACTAGTGTATTGAGTCATTAGCATGAGCAATGCTATTAACGTAATTCCAACCCAACCTCCTTGTTTGATGGCATATGGCAGCCCAAAAATTCCTGTTCCCGCAATTAAACAACTGTGAAAATATTATCATTAAAAAATTTTTTTTTATTAAAAAACAATTTACTTATCGATAAACCAACTCACGTGACGTTTACATAAGCCGCCCAACTAGAACCTGAAATACCTTGTCTTCCAATAATGTTAATTCTACTCGAACGATCAATTTGTCGCTCATAAATGCGAGATGTATCATTATTAAGCTCTTCAATTTCCTCCTGTGGTGAAGTATCGTTAAAGTATTCATCATCCAGTAATAATGGTACCTTAGAATCAACAGAGAATACAGAACATTCATCCTCTATATCTAAAGACTCTAAATTTAAGTCCATTTTTTTATAGATATATCTGAAAAAAACTTAGATTAAATATATAAGTTATGAATCTAGAAATGAATAAGAAGGTTATCTAATCAACCCGAATTAGGATCTATTATAAAAAGAAAGAATTTGTTATATCACGTTTAAATGGATGTCTATCATTATAAATTTGGATATTGTCAAATGAAAACTTAATATCTTTATAGATAAGATTTCCACTTAAATTATAATAGATAGTATTAAAGTTTTCTCACGAATGATTACCAATATGCAGTAGAAACAAAAAAACTGCAGTAAAACGTCTAAATTTATCAATTCAAGGTAGACAACATCACGGATATGGAGCTTTAACTGCGCTTTAGGGATAGGAGTTTGTAATTAATTATTTTCAAAAGTGGATAAAATTCAGGTTGTGTAATTAACCTGAAAGAGAACCCTGAAAGTTTGACAGTTTGGCGCAATAGAATAACTTTTTTATGATACTTTTTTGTATTTTTACGTTCTACGTACAACCAAAATTAAACATTTGTTCATAGAAAAGTAAATGCAAATATGTATTACGTAGTAAAAGTTATCAGGGTATGTATTGAGAGTGAAAATCCGTAACTGTACATACATAATGATAGATTACAGGTTTTCACTCTCATGCATTTACTGTATTTCGATCTCCCAACAGCTTTATATTTAGTAAAAAATAATACTTTATAGAAATCGACAAAAAATTTTTACGTATGTCCGAAAATAAGCTGCACTGTTTAATTACAAAATCGTCTAAAAAGGGTAGCTCTAAACTAACAAAAGGCAGTGACGTATTGACGTCACTACCTGAATTTTATATGACGTAAGGGTGACGTAAAGAGGTAGCTATCTTGACATTCAATATAGGTAGCTTATTATCGCAACATGAGTTTTTTCTTAATTTATTATTAATAATAAACATAACATCAACGTGATATTTTTCCTTCCTATCGTCTCTAGCACCACTATGTTTCTCTGCAATGTTAGCATACAAGATTTTTTATAAGGAAGACTTTTCAATGAAGCATGAATCGTAAACCTGATACAAATCTTCTACATCTTCCTTGGATAATTAGTAACGAAGTTGACGTGCAGATTTCTAGCAGCAAAGTACAGTCAAATATTTTTTATACTAAACATATTAATTTTGCATAAAAAGTTCAGTTTAGAAACTTTAAACCGAACTTACCGGTAATAATAACTTTTATATAGGAGAGATCTGTATGAAAAATGTCTTAGGGGGTGATACGCTTCTCTTTATAATTTGATCTCAAACGATTTTACAGTTTTCAATTCCAGAGATAGCTTATTTTCAGAGTAAATTTATTATAAAAAAAAATCATTCATAAATAAGGGTAACTTCTTTGTTCATTTTTCGAAAATATGGCATATTAATTAACTAATATTAATTTTTAAATTTGAATAACTGTTATTATATAAACATTTATTTATTAATTTCAATTTCGATTTATTAAATTCTTATTCATTAATTTCAATTCGATTTATTTCTAATTCTAAATCATTTATTTTCAGATCAAGTAGTTTACTATCTATAAAAAAGATTAATAAAAATAATATTTTAAGTAGAATAATTAATAAAATTTATTATAATAATAAATATATATTTACCATTATATGAAATAAGTTCGCTTTTATAACTTGTTTTATATGTTTGCATATTTTTATTTGTAATATTTCGTATTTTTTTATCATACTCGGATAAATCAAATAAAATATTTTTGCTGGTTTGCCATTCAAGAAAAATATCATAGATGTCAGCAGCTGATGGCCGATTTTCTGGCTCTTTATCCCAACATCTTTTCATAAGATCTA